GCCCGCCCCAGTGGGGGCCAGCCAGCCCCCCCCCCCCGGGAAAGTCTCAGGCTGCGAGAGGGGTCGGAGCACTGCAGCCCACTGGAGAGACCGGACTGCTTCCCAGGGAGGCCCTGCAGGCCGTAGTCCGTCTAGGGCAGGGGCCAGCCCAGTGGACATGCGGCGGTTAGAGAACCAGCTGCAGATGAAGGAATTGGAAGGACCATAGAGCACACTGACAGCATGAGCTGGCCATGGCAGAGCGGAGAAGCGGCAGGGCCCCCGCTGCGCCAAGTGCGGATGGGCCCCAAGGTCCCAGGGTGGCCAGACGTTTGGAGAAGCTCGTGGTGGCCCAATTGAAGGATGTGGGTGACATAAACGGTTCCTCAGCTCCACTGGACTGCAACGGGTTCCCCCTGCTGACTGGCTGCAGGAGCTCATTCCCGCACTGAACCAGGAGGCTTCCGGGGTCCTCAATCAGCTGGAGGACCTACAGCCAGGTGATTACCAACTGGTCAAGGAGGCCCTGCTGCACAAGTTCGGGCTGACTCCCAAGACATACAGGAAGAAGTTCTGGGAGGTGCAGAAGGGGCCACGGGAGACCTATGTGGATATGGCCTCCCGCCTGGTGCAATACTGCCGCAAGTGGGTGTCTGGCGTCAGAGCCCAGACCACAGAGGAACTGCTCAAGCTGATCATGATGAAGCAGGTCTATGAAGCGTGCACACCCAGCCTGAGGCTCTGGCTCAAGGACTGAAGCCCAGAGAACCCCCAGGAGGCCGGGAGACTTGCGGACGAGTTCACGGAGAGCCGGTCCAGGTGTGAACGGGAATCGCGGCGAGAAAGGGAATCGTGCAGAGACTGTATCTCGGCTGAGCAACAGTCACCTACGAGGGAAACCCCAGCTCAGAGTGGGGGGGAAGGATGCTCAGTGCACCTCCCCTGGGAGATCTGACCCTCGGGAGGCGGATTTCTCCATGTACCGAGTGGGGGCAGAGCGGCCCCTGTAGAGCGACTGCCTCATACCCCTGGAGGTGGATGGTAGGAAGGCGACGGGTTTCTGGGACAAGGGGGCGGAGGTGACGCTAGCCCAATCCGACATAGTGGCCCCAGACCGGGTACTACCCCACACTCAGTAGCCCCTGAAGGGCATAAACGGGTCCCCGTTTAAGGTGCCTGTCGCCAGGGTGCATCTGAAATGGGGGGCCAAGGAGGGCCTCAAGGAAGTGGGGGTGCACCTGCACTTGCCCACGGAGGTGCTGATGGGGAATGACCTAGAGGAGTGGCCCCATGAATCCCAGTGGGCTCTAGTCACCGCCCGTTGCCAGAGACAACGAGGGGCTGGCAACCTGGATCCAGGGAAGGACCCCCGACAGGGTCCTCAAGGTCCCATCCCTGTGGACACGGGGTCCAGCCAGGCTGGGACCCCGGACCTAGGCAAAGGTGGGGAACAGGTCCCAATCCCTGCTCCAGCAGCTGAATTCCAGGCTGAGGTGCAGGCAGACCCCTCCTTGCTGAGGCTGAGGGACCAGGCTGGCCTCCGTGCAGCTCAGCCCCTGGGGGGAAGTGGCCAGGAGCGATTCCTGTGAGTCGTCCCCCGAAAGTATCGCCGCAAGCTGCTGTATTTGGCTCACGACGTCCCCTTTGCGGGCCACCGGGGGATCCGGCGCACCCGGCTGAGGCTGCTCCAACACTTCTACTGGCCGGGGATATTTGCGGCCGTGCAGCGATATTGCCGGTCTTGCGACTCCTGCCAGAGGGTGGGGAAGGCCTACGATGGGAGGAAAGCTGCTTGGGGGCCCCTAGCCCATATAGAGGAGCGGTTTTGCAAGGCAGCATTAGAGATAGTGAGGCCTGTCGGCCAGGCCACCCAGACAGGAAACAAATACATCATGGTAGCCGTGGATACGGCTACCAACTGCCCTGGGGCCGTGGCTCTGCCCTCTAGAGAGGCAGACACGGTGGCAGACTCACTGCTGGCCCTTTTCAGCAGGGTGGGGTTCCCCAACGAGGTCTTCATGGACCAGGGATCCCACTTCATGTTGGTCCTGCTCCAGTGCTTATGGGAGAAGCACGGGGCCCAGCTCACCTGGACCCCAACTTATGGCGCCCGGCCCAACAGGCGGGGGGGGACGTTCATGGGGACCCTGAAGCAGATGCTGGAGGCTTTTATGTTCTGGCACCCACAGGACTGGGACAAGTACCTGCCTCATCTGCTGTCTGCACAGGGGGAGGCACCCCGAGGGTCTGCTAGGCTCTCCTGAACCGAGCCGGGGTGCAGAAGGGGGAAGGCCCTCCTAGGCTTGATGAGAGAGTTATGGGAGGGGAAGACCTCCCTGGATGGAACGTCGGGGGTGGAAGACGCCCTGGCTTTCCAGAAAAGGCTCGCTGAGCTCATGGCCCTGGCTCGAGAGACCCTGGCCAGAAATCAAGGCCAGTGGAAGGGTGAGTGTCACCAGAGGACAGGCCTGTGCCAGTCCCCCTGGAGCGGTGCAGCAAGAGGACAGAGGGAAGCCGATTCACTGTATAGGCAGTCCCCCCCTTGGGCATGCAGACTAACTATTATCAGCCAGTGGTCTGAATGAGCTATCTACTGCCATCTGTTAATCAACTGTAGGAAAAGGCTTCATGAGCGGACCTTATTATATAGACAACCTACTTTTCCACAGAGATCAGTAAACGCACTTGCTGTGTCAAGCTGATCAATTTTGGCTCTTTTGGGTTGAAATTCACTTAAGACTTGGAGCTGGGAGAATGAAATGTTGTAATCCATATTGCATGATTAAAAGGTAAAAGACCTGAACTTAATATGGCCTGGCTTAGGGTCTACCATAACTTGAACACTAAGCAGAGGATAGTGAGTCACATCTAAGTGAAAGTCACAGAAGATGGAAACAGGTTTTATTTCTGGTGGTGTAGAGTCTATTTGGGAGTCCTCAATTATATGACACTTTCCATCAAGTGTTTAAAGGCAGAGCTGACTAGAATCAATTAAGAGTCCTTGTCTTGTCTCAGTGATTGCTTGAGCAAAAATCATTGATAAAATCTTGTGTAGACTGATCTTGGACTCAACATGCAGGCAGTGTGTTGAAGGGCAATGCAAAGGAGGCAATGGTGGTGAGGTACCATATTATCTAGTGAAATCAGTGGTGCTGACATCACTAAGAACTGGAATTTGACCACAGAACTGACACTTTCTTAACAAAGACTCCATTTTTGCTATTTAAAAAGTAAATCAATGTAACAGAAAACTGCAACACTCTCTGGTAACTTTTTAAAAATCAAACTTTAAACTTTATTGAAAAGATTGGATAGTTTGGAAAAGTGTCTGTGCCAATCTAGACGCTCTTTTCTGCAAATGCTTTTAACGGAAAACTTTTCCGTTAAAAGCATTTGCAGAAAATCATGACAGTCTAGATGCAGCCCCAGTGTTTAAAGGAAGAGCTGACTAGAATCAAGTGAGAGTCCTTGTCTTGTCTCAGTGATCGCTTGAGCAAAAATCATTGATAAAATCTTGTGTAAACTGACCTTGGACTCAACATGCAGGCAATGTGTTGAAGGGCAGTGCAAAGGAGGCAGTGGTGGGGAGGTACTATATTACCTAGTGAAATCAGTGGTGCTGAAATCACTAAGGACTGGAATTTGACCACAGAACTGACACTTTCTTAACAAAGGCTCCATTTTTGATATTTAAAAAGTAAATCAATGTAACAGAAAACTGCAACGCTCTCTGGTACCTTTTTAAAAATCAAACTTTAAACTTTATTGAAAAGATTGGATAGTTTGCAATTGAAAATATTTGACCTACACTTAAATCAACTGATTTAATTTTGTGTCAAATTTTGCATCATAAAGGATGGTATTTTTTTTAAATGTTCAACTATATTGATATACATTTTGATCAGATCTACTTCTGATGTGATATTTGTGTGTGGTTGTGGTTTGTTGTGTGGGTGCTTTTTTATTTTTTTTGCTCAACAAAAATCCTGGGTGGGGGGGGTCCCACCAAAACTGTTCAAATTGGGCACCGCACTTCCTAAAGCTGGCCCTGTGAGGAGTCAGTCTGCTTGCCTGAAAGGGGGTTGTGTGGAAACCTGCCGGGTGGGCTAGAGGGGATTCAGGGTGCAAGGAAATGCAGGAGGAGGAGTTTGTGGCTCAGCGGAGCAATGCTACTGTAGGGCTGGGGAAAGGTGAGCTTTGGCGTACAGGAGCTCATAGGGAAGAGAATCCTTATGGCGATTTTAGCAAGCAGTTTGCTGTGGGTAAGGTGAGTGAAGTGTGTGTCTCAGGTTCAGAGGAAGGATTTGCGTGGCTAAGTATGCAAAACAGAACAGCTTTGTAGTGAATCTCTGTAGAATGCAGGAGAGGGCAGGTAAACTCCCGTCTCTAGACACTGTGGACACTTGTAATCTATCAGTGAACTTAGCATCTGATTCCTTCTTGTGCAAAAGCCCCTTGCACAAAATGGCACCTCATTAATTATGCAAATGAGGCACTGCAATATTCATCGCTGTGCCTCATTTGCCTATGTTCTTGCACAAGACTGACCAGTGTAGACATAGCCCAAGAATGCATCTTTGGGAGCTTTGTAGAGATGTGCAAGGAGGATTCCCACTCTGTCTCCAGGCATGTTAAACTGTTCTGAGGCAGTGGGCTGCCACAGAGCAAACCCAATTACCTTAAGAACAGCTGTATTAAGCCAGACCAAATGTGCATCTAGCCCAGTATCCTGAATGAATGGCACAGTAATTATCAAGTGATCCACCCATTCCCAGCTTCTGGCAAACAGAGTAGGGATACCTAGTAGCCTTTGATAGACCTATCCTCCATGAATTTATCTAGCTG